TTTTTTCAGGCATGATCAGCTGCTAGAAAAAATAAACAGAAACTGTAGAGTTAGAGGTAGTGGTGTGTTACCGAACACAATGGGTTCACCTCTTGTACTCTTGTTCACAATAACTAAGAGTCAAGTGGATTTAAAGCAAGGCATAGTTTATTACACGCAGCGAGTAAGGAGACAGGGAGATCCCTCTCAAAGCACTGTCTCTCTGAACAAAGAGCTGGAGGAAGTTTTATATTACACACGAAAGCAGGAGTCATGCATATTCATTAATTTCATACATATTCAAAAAGGGGTCGGGCTAGGATTAGGCTCAGAAGTGGGTTACGGACTTTTCGCTTCTGAAATGGGCTTGGTCACCACTCGATAACGTATGTCCAGTGATTTTGGTTCCTTAGCATGGGTCTTTTGGTTCCTAGGCAATACTTATTATGGGATGGGGCCTTCTGATGGTCAGCCTGGTCTCTTACCATGCATGCCCAGGATTCTAGTTTTAATTGGTTGATCTAAAAGACAGCTGCACGTGGAAAGATTAGGAGGAGGCCACTTAAACTTTAACTGCAAATGAGGTAAACAATGTCTTGTGGTTGACACCATTCTTCTTCTAGAAAATTTTTAAATGACATAACTTGTTGCTTAAGGCCTTTTCTGTCCCTTGCCAATCTCAGTGTGGTGGAGCTAGTTCACACCTGAGTCAGTTGTACAATTGTACACATCTATGTGGAAAGTTTAAAACTGGCCATGGTAAGATTATTCACACCATGTAAATCTGCAAATACTACAGATCAGGGCTTTTTTTTTTTTCCCCTGGAAAGCTAGTTATTAAACAACATTCCTTAGAGGTTATATACTAGGCCTATCATGCTTTCATTTTACTCCAGCCTTAAGAAAAATCTTCTTAAAGAATTAGTACTTGAAGGTAGAGACAATTTGTACTCATTAACTGACTTCCCTTCAGTAATATTCAAGCAGTAAAACATCAAAACTTGTATAAAAAATTTTCATACCTTAAAATTTCATATATGATTTTTGGGAAGCGACAGAAACCCAGGAATATCTGTGCTATTAAGTGTAGCAAGAAATGGCATTCTACATGAGATAAATCAACATAATGGGATATGCTAGTGAACCTTTTGTTTGACTTTATTACTTAGTCTTCTCACTCTCTTTGTCATTTGGCATTCCTTGGGAAAAGCTCCTAGAGAGGGGATCTTCATGGATGAAAATCACATACCCCATTACATTGAAATTCAAAAATAACTCCCCCAGAATAAAGTATGAAGTAAAGCAAGGTCATACAGATGATGTCATTATAAGGATAACCTAGAATCTGCTCTATTCTTTAAAATAAACGATTTGTACACTTTAGTGATTTTATTATTAGAAGCTTGGTTGATCCTAAACCAAATGACTGTCCACTGGAGCTGAGAAAAATTGCTTTAGTGTAGCTTTTCATAAGATAATTAGTCTGAGTTCTTAAATGTCTTAAAGAAGCCTTTGTGCATTAAAAGGACTATGCCCAATTTCTTAATTTTTCAGTTAATAAAACTTTTATTAAAGTTGTAATTATAAGCTTTTAATTTAACTATCAAATCTTGTTCTACTATTTATAAAATGAATAAAGAACAATTGTTTTCTCTTTTTCTTTGATGAATGTTTAATTAACTCAAGTTGAATACACTAAATTACTGTAAATAATTAGCCCCATTGACAAATTTAGTAAATTACATATTCTAAAATACTTTGGACTCTACTTACAAATTTAATATATTTAAGGGTTTTTTTTTTTTTAACCATTTCGGCACCTGACAGCTCAGAATCAAAACCCTAGCAAGAAAATGCTTCCTATGCATTTAAAACAGTCTTGTAAATCTCATAAAATAAACTTGTAAATACAATGTATCTCCAGTTTTCTTACTTTTAAAAACTTAGTCTTAGGCATTTTTAGTTTAAAAGCTCAGTTCCAGAATCTATTACACATTTTGATTTATGCTCAGATCCTTTAATATACCAGACTCTTGTAAACATTATAAATTCTTTAAATACTAAATATATAAAACTAATAATTTAAAAAGTTTATTCCAGATCTTGAACTCAAAATATAAATGATCTGGGGTTAATATACTTCATCATCTCTGAATTTAGTTTAAAACTTTCTGTGGTGGATAAAAACTTACTCATCAAGGGAAGCATATTTATAATTTCAAGGTAAATAATATTGACAATTCATAGTAATATGATTACTTGTGTGTCAGAGCCTAGGGACAAATCTCAAGGGCCATATACATACAAGAGTCATATTCTAAACCTTGAATTGATATACTTAGTCCTTTTTTATAATTACTAGGTGATCAGAGGCATTAAATACACACACATATCCTGTTCTCTCACCTGAGTTGCATGTACTGAAGTCCATATGCCCAGCGAAGTTTCACTTAAATTCCTTCAACTAATCTCATTACCACAGGATTGAATTCTACAACCTTTCAGATTTCTTGGGTGTATGTGACCAGAAGTGTTATGTCATAACAATGTCTTGTCTTTCTCTGGCCAGACATTTTCATTTCATCCCATGGAGTCCTTTTCATCATTTTGTCTCATATTTTGAATGCATCTTTATTGTCATTCAAATACTAAAGCTTAACTTCTAATATATGTCAGAGAGATGGCTTTGAAAACCCTAATTTTGTCAAGTTTTCAATAATTATATTTGACATAAAAGTTGACATGGCAAAAGGAAAAGAACATGGATTCTGTATTTAGAAAGACTGCTTAAGAATTCCAAGCCAAATAAATACCACCAAATGACCTAGAATAATTTAGTTAAATCCTTTGCATGTCAATGTTTTCATTTAGAAAGTGTGAGAAATAACACTTATTTTGCAAGGTTTAAGGTAGACACTCAAATAATGATGATTATTATTATTATCTTAGTAGAATAAGAAAATCAACCCAATGTCTAATTTCAGGAGGCTAGATTTACTGGAAAAATTCCAAATAAGATGATAGTTTTTCTGAGAATGAAGAAACTATTTACCAAGTCATCTAACATCACATTAAGGGAGGAATAAAGAAGATAGCCCTTAAAATAAAAAGACAAATGATCATCAACTCCCATTTTAATGTATAAAAGTTAAAGCAAAAGAAAGTAGTTTTAATTTTTTTTTTCTTAAATAAAACACTCCCCACGTTTTCCCTCTTCTCTTCTCCCAAACCTTTTTACATTCTGAGTTTGGTGGATTTGAACAGTTGACCTTGTGGTTAGCAGCCATAGCTCCTAACCACTATGCCACCAGAATATCCTGACCATCAGAAGAAAGTCTAGATTTCTTGTAGTCAGGGACTTGAATAAACTAATAAATCCTGAGCTACTGGCAGAAATTTTTCAGTAACAGACACAAGGTGATGTTTTATTTGTTTAATAGAGAGAGAGAATTAGGTCTGGTTGTGCGGTCTGGGCAGAGTGATAGATAGCTCTAACTCCCCTCTCTAAATGAGAGCCATTATTTTGAATAAATTTCTCTCCATGTCGGAGAGAATGGAGACTGAGACCTTAGAATATAGGCAAAGGGGAGGAGGGACCCAGACCTGTCCATTCCTCCTCAGGCAGGGATCTGTCACAAAAGAAAGAAGATTGATTAAAATGTCCATTTTCTGACTTTCTTCTAAATGGTATCACTTGTAGATAAGGAGAACTGTCTGAAGAACTAATCCAGCTTACAGTCATTAATCACACCTCACCACCACACCTTCGATGTTTAAAAGCTCCTCCTTTGCAGAAGCAATTGATGACTCTATGAGATTCATCCTATGCCTTTTAATGCAATAAAATACCAGAAACATAAAAATTCTGTATTCGTAACACACTGAGCACATAAGACTTTTGCTGAACTATTCTCTGAAGAAATTAGAAAGTACTTTTCAGCTTTTCTGGTTGGTGACTATCCTTGTCTCCAGAGAAGGAGTGAATTTGCGTGACTTCCACTGAAACTCTTAAGTTAATGATTATGGTAATCTCTTCCTGTTCCACTAGAATGGAATAGCATACAAGTGGAAATGATAATTTTTTACAAAAATGACTTAGGCCTCAGTTGAATTCTCACACTAACGCTTAACAGATGTGGCTGAAGTGGGGCAAGGTACGTAATCTCAATGAGTTTGAATTCCTCATTACTAAAATGGGGATAATAATACCAACCTCACAGGACTGTTGGGACAATGAAATGTGATAAAGTTGGTGAACACACCTAGTACAGTGCCAGACTAGCAGGTATTTAAAACAAGTGGTTTTATTCCTTTCTTTTACTATTGTATTTATTATTATTTTGGGCCCTGGTGGCACTGTGGTTAAGAGCTCAGATACTCACCAAAAGGTCAACTGTTCAAATCCACCAGCCGCTGCTTGGAAACCCTGTGGGGCAGTTCTGCTCTGTCTTGAAAGGTCACTATGAGTTGGAACTGACTCGACAGCAATCGATTTGGTTTTGGTGTCATTATTATTAATTATAAACTCCCCAACTCATCTGCCCAAATTTATATATAAGCTCCTCAAGGCTAGAAAAATCATATCTCCTGTTATGGGTTGAAATGTGTCCCCCAAAAAGATACGTTGAAGTCCTAATCTCTGGTACCTGAGAATGTGACCTTGTATGGAAATAAGGTCTTTGCAAATGTAATCATGTTAAGACAAGGTTATACTGAATTAAGGCTCACCCTAATCCACTGACTGGTCTCCTTACAAGATGGAAATTTGGACACGGAAACAAAACTTACACCAGGAGAAAGCCATGTGAAGATGGAGGCAGAGAGCAGAGTTACTCTGCCCCAAGCCAAGGAACACCAAGGATTACTAGCAACCACCAGAAGCTAGGAGAAAGGCGTGGAACGGATTCTCCCTTTGAGCCCCTAACAAGGAAGAAACCCTGTCAACACCTTCATTTTAGACTTCTGGCCCCCAGAACTGTGCGAGAATAAATTTCTGTTGTTTTAAGCCACCAAGGTTGTGGTAATTTGTTACAGCAGCCCTAGGAAACTAATATGTCCTTCTTCTTCTGTATTAATGTAGGGCAGAGCACCATTTCCTTTGAACATATCTTCTTTTTCTCGTTTTGTTTCCTCCCGCTCATCATCTTGCTAATCACACAATATAGCCCACTGGAGTTCTGGCCCAATGTTGTGAAGTGTCCTTAATCCTGCCTGTAGGATAATTGTGATGTTCTTCCCTGGGCAATTGTGATATTCTTCACTGGGCAACTGTAGTGTTCTTTGCTGGGCAATTGTGGTACTCTTAGCTGGGCAATTGTGGGATTCTTTGCTGGGTATTTTCCCATAAGCCTGCTTTCTTTTGATTTCTTGAATTTCATAAAGTAGTCCTGTATCAGGAAAGTGGCATAGAACTTTCCCAGTTACCTCATCATCACCAGCTGGAGGGACAACCTGGTCAAGCAGTTTCATGCTGGTTTTCTTCCAGATTTTCTTTATCACAGCTCGAAGTTCTTCATTAGCTTGTTCCAGGTTCCTTTCAGTCTTAAGAGCAGTTCGAACCAAAGCAAACAGGGTTGCATTAAATATGACTGTTCCATCACTGTTGAGAGACATGTTCATGACAACTAATCTCTCGCACACTACTCTGTGTGGGCATAATTTCCCAAACCCCAGGGGTGGCTGGAAGCAATGGAGCAGAGTAACCACGTGGAGGTATTTTACGCCAGGGTCATATTCTGATCATAT